CTCGTGGCTGCCAAAAACGAGCAGATCGCCGAGCTCGTGACGACCGCGAAGATCCTCGAGAAGCAGCTCGAGAGCGCTACGGCTGCCTCGGACGCATCCAAGAACGACCAAGTACAGCAGCTGCAAGCGCAGTGTACTGCCATCGAGCAGCACGCCTCTAAGACCACCGCCGCCCTCGACCAGCTCCGAGCATTGTACGACGCCTCTATCGCCACGAACCGCACCTTGGTCTCTCAGAAGATGATCCTCAACGAGCAGCTCGGCATGAGTCACGCCGACTGCGAATCGAAGGACCTCCAAATACACGCGATGGCCGCCAAGGACGATGCCAAGGACAAGCAAGTGGCGAGACTCGAGTACAACGTCCAGCTCTTGATCAGCCTGGAGCAAGACCGCATGGCATATGGTGATGAAGACGACGAAGATATGGTCCATGAGGAGGTAGCGCCCTGCGCGTACTTGGATCCGAACTACGAAGCGCAGCCTCCAGCGTACATCGACACGGACGACCCTTGGATTCGAGACGACTACGCAATCTTGTAGTTGACATACATCGGTAGGATAGGGTAGGTTAATTAATCAAAACAATGTAATAAGTTTCTATGTGGGTTGTCTGTAGTTGAAATCAGCCGAATCGAAGCTCTTGCACCCTATGTCGTGTTTTGAATGAGGTAGAAGCTAGCGTACGTGGCTCCAAACATGCGCTGATGGCATTGGCTAGAGCCACCCAGATACTCATCGGTCAACGTCCTTGGGCAGACTGTGAGTTTGCTGCCAGTCAAATGACACGGCGGCCGAACCTCGCACGATCGCTAGAACATGACGGGCGATTTAAAATAAGACAAGTTGTCCAAAAATTGCGATCGTCAAGGTTTTACGTTGAACGCACGTGTCTAGACCTTGCTATGCAGCACGTGTTCGTCATCGTCGTCCTCACCGACGGTGAAGCGCGGCGAAATGTTGGCGACCGCGTCCTTCTTGTCCTTGGTATCGTCGTCCTCATGCTCCTGCTCATCGTCCTCGATATCTTCCATCGGCAGCTGCGACGCATACGCGATCGAGCGCGCGGTCGGGCGCCAAATGACGCACATGGCCGCCGACACGATAAAGTTGAGGACGGGCCACGCAACGAGCTGCGTCCACTCCCACTCGGTCGGCCACTCGAAGAGTCCGACGCGGCCCGAGACAGCGACAGCCGTCAGCATCGTGAAAAACAGCACAAAACCACCGAGGCTGTACGCGAGCGCCTCGTACATCTTGAGCTTCGCAAACTGCTTGGCCGACCGGAGGTCCTTGAGGATCGTCTCGAGCGAGAGGTAGATCCACAGCACGAACACGAGGTTGCACGCGAGCTGCAGCAGCGCCCAGATCGACGGCGACCGACCGCGGAGGCCGCTGCTGCGGTCGGCGGTGGCTTCACGAATCAAGTCGTCGGCGACGCCCGTGCCAAAGTACGCCAGCGACATGACCACAATGAGCACCTTGTCGAGGCGCGGCAGCGTGTCCTTGACAATCCCGTACCTACCAGTGTCCATTTGCCCACGAAATCTAACGTTGAAACGAGGACACTCGGTCGCACCCGAGGCAAACGACCAGCAGAATCATGCGCGCAAAGGTGCGCATGCCGGCGTCGCAGGCCACCGCGGCAATGTACAACGGCGGCAACGGCCAGCTAAAGGGCTGGCCGACTTGGTTCATCTCGTACAGGGCGATAAACCAGATCGCCGACGACACTAGACACCACGTAGTAGACGCTTGCACGATGCGCCGGCCAATATACCTGTGCCGAGGAGAAGAACGGCGAAGATACCAACTTGAAGCGCAATGGCTTCCTTGCGGTGCAGGCAGAGAAGGATGGCGAAGAAGAAGGCGAGCACAAGATACCCGAGCGAGAGGAACCCGCTACGACCCCGAAGTTAGTACCTCGTGGCGCAGAAATGAGCGGTACGGTACCTGAAGGGCAGGAGACCATAAAACACAGCCGGCAAGAGACCGTACGGATTGCGCACCGTGAGCGTCCCCGTAAACGGCACCGCGGCCTGGCTCGCGTGCGTCTCCGAGCACACAAAGACGAGCGAGTCGATCCAGCCGCTGCTGTTGATCTTGTACGTGGTTGACGCGACCACCGAGCCGTTGACGATCGGGAATTCACGACGCTCCAAGTGGTGCATGCCGGCCATTGTAAGCTCGGATTGCAGCTGCGAGCACGCAAAGAGCGCGAGGTTGCCCTCGGCGTCCGCAAGCGCGTTGAGGTTGTCGGCCTGGTAGTGGAAAACGACGAGGCGGCCGCCGTTCATGGCCGACGACGCGTTCACGCCCGAGATGTTGAGCTACGTATGCTGTGAGCAAGGGTAGAGAGGCGGCGAGAGGCGGCGTACGTGGACAGACGAGCTGCCGTGCTCGGCAAACAGCGGGCCGTGGTTGGAACCAAACATCTTTTCAGCGCGCTGGAACGGGAAGTAGGCGACCTTGGCATCCGCAGGCGCCGTCGCGTCGACGATGAGCTCGTTGGATACGGGGTAGACCGAGCCGTAGGCCGCGTGGGCGCCGAGGAGGAGCGCGGTGAAGCAGCGCCGCAAGCTGCCTGCCATCGTCGTCGTCGGTCGGAGGCTCGCAGTAAGAAAGTGGGCTGCAACATGGTGCGTGCACCTTTTTATAAAAGTTGATGTTGGCCGCAAGTTTGCATCCGCAAAGTTCGATGACTTCTGGGGCATGTTCAAGCTCCTATTCAGAAGTTGATTTCGCTACTAAGTTGGATGCAAGATCGACAGCACGCGGTTGGCAACTTTATACGAAACAGTCTTATAGAAATGGACCAATCATACGCGCGGATGGACATTCGATGCCATGGGATAAAACGACGAAAGCACTTGGTGTTTGTATGCAATACAATAAAAACCACGAAATTTAAAAACCAAGCTGCCAGCTGCGCTGGCATGAGGAGCCGGAGCCTGCGGGATGGAAGCCACCGCGCCCAGGACGACCGGCGACGACGCACCGCCAGCCACAGCCCGAGCGACGACGATCAGAGATCTCATCGCCGCAAAGGAAGCCCCGACAGCTACATGCAAGAGCGACAAGAACGACCTCGCCGGCGCCGATCGCGGTCCGCATCGCCAGCCCGGCGCCGCGTACGGTCGCCTTCGAGGTCGCCGGATCGTCGCCATGCTCGGTCTACATCGAGATCGCGTAGCCATGAGCGCCGTAAGCGCAATCCCAGTCTTAGTCGCCGCGTCATTGAAAATCGAACGGCAGAGAAGCCGGACGCGCCACGCACGCGCCGCCTCCTCGCTCCCAATTCATTTGCGCTTGGCCGCATCATGAAAAGCACTGCACGGTCGCGCGACGAAGAAGACGAGCGCGAGCGGCAACTCGCTGCCAAGAAGCTCCGGGAACTCGACGCTAAGCAGCCACGGACGTTCTAGAGCTGACGACGTCGTCGACAGGATCGTTCCCAACGACATGGCGTCGTACTGCCACCGTCGCCAGTGGTTCATAGACTGAAAGCGCTACTCTACTTATCACCGAAACGAAATACAAGTGCCCATGACGTGGCAGCACCATTATCGTTGTTCGACAAACCGAGCTCCAAGGCGAAACGCCGACGTTGGTTTCGTGAACCGGCCTTTCTCTCAGAGCTGGAAACTGCGGGAATTGATGGCAGGCCGGTCGCTGCAAGCGCAGCTCTTTGACAAGACGCCGGAGCAGCTCTCTCTCAACCAGCGGCTGGAGCTCGACCCGGACCTCGACGAGCTCGAGCTCGAGCTCGCGGCAACCGACGCGTCCGAGGCCGACCAGCAAGTGCTCGTCATGTCCGAGACCATCGACCTGCTCCGTCGCCACCTCGAAACGCAGCGCAAGGAGCTCCAAGCCGCGTACCGCACGCTTCACGAGTACGAGACCAAGACGCAGTCGGAGCGCTCGAAGGCGCTCGCAACCGAGTCGCAGCAGGCGTCGGCCGACCAGCAGCTGCGCGACCTTGCCTTTGTACGCGTCGTTTGGAGCAGCACACAAAAATCTCATGCGCTACGTAGACGCTCGAGCTCAAGAACGTGGCGCTGCACGAAGCGACGATGGAGAAGGAGTCGATGCGCATCGAGTTGCAAAAGTACAAGGCGCTGACGCGGGAGCTCTCGGAGCGTCTTGAACGCACTTGTGTGCCAACTGCGACGACGTTCACGACGAGCAACAACCAGAGCAACAACGTCTCGGGGCTCAACCAAGCCAGCGTGCACTCGGCCGCGAGCAACCAGAGCGGCCACGTGCCGAAGCGCGATCGATTCGACCACATCGTGCCGGCTTCGATTGAGAACCGAGATGACTTTTGGAAGCTGCAGTGGAAGGAGGCGATGCGGGCTCGAAAGGGCCACCCAACGACGATCTACAACCAGTTCCCCGACCCGCCGCCCAAGCAACCGACGCTCAAGATCTTTTCCAGTCCGCCCCACGGCAAGCGAGGTAGCGTTGTCCTGGTATAGTTACCGTGGTACTTACTAGCGAGATTAGGGTTCGCGGACCGCGACGAACGCTTCCCCGTGTCCCGCTACATTGGCATCAACAGCCGCCAAAGCGCTCTCATCAAGGAGTGCTACAAAGTGGTCGGCAACACCACTTAAAACACACAAATGTATCGAGACAGGTTGTAAAGCACTCAATAAAGTGTCTCTGGACGGAGAGCAGCATTTACTTGCCACCAAGAGCGTCCCCGCCGAAGGCGTCGACGTGAAGGAGGCACTTGGACTCGACAACAAGAAGAGCGTCCGTGAGGACGTCTGCATTATGGCTTCCTGACTCCCTCTTCCGTTGTCTCGACGGTGGAGGTGCCGCGTAGCCCTTTCCTAGCAGGTCGCTCTTTCACGGACAAAAGCTTCTACTTGTAAAAGCAACTTCATGCGCTTCTACAAGCAGATAGCTGCATGGCATCCTTAGCTCATTCTCCAATTTGCAGACAACCGACGACAACAATGACAACGATGACCAAGCCCCGCTGGAACAGCTCCACCAACGTCGCCTCCAAGGCCACGTTGACTCCCGTGACGCGCACCACGGTGCCGCCGCGCACCCGCACCCGGCCGACCGTGCCAACGCGTGCCGCCCAAGGAGCGCCACCAACTGCTCGGGCGCCTCGCCAAGCCGCCGCACCGACACCTCGCACGCCTGTACACGCGCAACCGACCACTGATCCAGTCCCAGCAACGCCATTGCCTCGATCATTGCCTGCCTCCACGCAGCAGGAATCGCGCATCGCTGCGCTGGAAGCCCAACTGGCGGCGGTGACAACCGAGTCCAGCACCCGCCAAACTCGTATCCTCGAGCTTGAGACGAGCCTCGCGACGGCGACGGCCGAGCGCAAGTTTCACGAAACCCGCTCCATGCAGCACTTTGACACGATCTGCCACCTCAAGTCCGTCCAGGAGTCGGAGGTCGGTCGCCTTGGCGCGGACCTCAAGGCGCTGCAGCTGGACCACAACATTCTCGTGGCTGCCAAAAACGAGCAGATGGCCGAGCTCATAACGACCGCCAAGATCCTCGAGAAGCAGCTCGAGAGCGCTACGGCTGCCTCGGACGCATCCAAGAACGACCAAGTACAGCAGCTGCAAGCGCAGTGCACTGCCATCGAGCAGCCCGCCTCTACGGCCACCGTCGCCCTCGACCAGCTCCGAGCATTGTACGACGCCTCTATCGCCACCAACCGCACCTTGGTCTCTCAGAAGATGAGCCTCAACGAGCAGCTCGGCATGAGTCACGCCGACTGCGAATCGAAGGACCTGCAGATACACGCGATGGCCGCCAAGGACGATGCCAAGGACAAGCAAGTGGCGAGACTCGAGTACAACGTCCAGCTCTTGATCAGCCTGGAGCAAGACCGCATGGCATATGGTGATGGAGACGACGAAGACATGGTCCATGAGGAGGTAGCGCCCTGCGCGTACTTGGATCCGAACTATGAAGCGCAGCCTCTAGCGCACATCGACACGGAAGACCCTTGGATTCGAGACGACTACGCAGTCTTGTAGTTGACATAAATCGGTAGGATAGGATAGGGTAAGTTAATTAATCAAAACAATGTAAGTTTGTACGTAAGTTGTCTGTCGTTGAAATCAGCCGAATCGGAGATCTTGCACCGTATGTCGTGTCTTGAATGAGGTTGAAAATTGACGCAATCTTATGTTTGTGGCTCCGAGTGCCGAAGAGCTGGTCGACCCAAGACGACGATGGAGTCGTGTCTGTAATACGTACAATTGTAGCGACGGCCTGCCGTTTAAACTAGTGTGGAGCTGCGCGCACGGCACCTGTTTAGTGAGAAGAGCACCTTTGGTTTGAAGCACTTGGTCGAGAGTGTGCAGCGGTCGTCGCGAACGATGAGCGCTTCGCATTTCTTTCGTTGACTACAAACAAATGGTTCTGCCAGCTCACCCCACAAGGGACCTGTCGAAACACATGCATCGAAATGTATCATGTACACAAACGTCTATCGACTGAGATTCTTAGTGCTTCTGGACCGCCGCAAGCGCCGACCAGTACGACGCAAAGTCCCAGCTCCAGCCAAAGTTGCCGCCGTACTCTTGGAGGAGGTACTTGGGCTGGACAAAGAGGCGCGCGTCAGCGTGGTTGCCAGAGAACGTCTGCTTCTTGGCGTTAATGGCCTCTGGCGTCATCTCGTCGGCGACCGGCCCGGCCGACGCCATGTGCGCCGTCTTGACGAGCTTGAGCTTGGCCATCGTGACGCTGTCGATGAAGGGCGAGAGGAGCTTGAGGACGACCGAAAAGTACCACGACGCGTTGACCATGAGGCTCACACCGAGGCGCTAGGTAGACTTTTATAAGTACATGACATCATCGACGACGAACCATGTGACTACCTCGGGGTAATGGCTCGACATGGTGTGCAGAAACTCGCGGGCGACCGAGAACGGCACCGAGTTGTGGCGGTTGATGTGCTACATCCCAGATAGTATGAGCAACAACGTGATGTAGGCAGCAAGGCATACCTCGTAGTCGATGACAATGACGACCGACTCGCGGCCTTCGGGCATGAGTGCGATCGCCTTCTCCAAGTTGTAGCATGTAAAGCGGAGCTGGCGGTCATGCGTCTTGGTGTTCTCCATGTGCGGGCGCATGTACCACACGGGGCGGCCGTCGCGCGCAAAGCCGCTAAGGAAGCTCTTGCCCGTCTCGGCCTCGGGCGCGACCTCGTCGGCCGTGATCTTGTCGGGCGCGTACTCAAAGCGCCACTTGAGCGTGATTGCAAGGCGCTCGATGGCCTGGTCGAGGTGGAACTTGGTGGCCTAATTGCATTCGTTAGAGTCGTTTGCAGTAGACGTCCAGCAACCACGAACCTTGAGGTAGCGCACGAGGCAGCGGGTGTCGCACCACGCGAGGAGCTCGTCGTTGCGCGCCGCGTCGGTCGTGTTGCCCGTGCTCTTGGCCACGAAGGCGAGGTCGATCTTGGCCTGGAGCTTGGCGAGCACCTGCGCCTGGTCGGCCGAGATATCGTGGACGGGCCAGTTGGCGGGCGCGGGCGCAAAGCTGTCGCCGGGCAGAAGCGTCAAGACCGGAACGTTCATGGTGGAAATCTCGAAGTGGCAGCGTGGTCGTCCCGGTGTATCCGGAGGATTGCCAAATTTGCGCGTGTGATTGGCTATGTATCCGGATGCGAGAGTATAAAAACTGGTTGATGGCGCGCGATCGTCTTCATAAACCACAATGCTGCGACAGGAATGGGTGCAGCGTCCTTCGCTCCTTTGACTGCAAGCTCTGCGTTTGGTCCAGAATGAGTTCCAGAGCTTGTTTCCAGAGTTTGTTTCCAGAACGAGTTCCAGAATTGGTTTCCAGATTGATGCCATGTCAGGTGCTGCCGGTCTGAAGCGCACTCCAGCCACCTTGGACGAACCCATTGGACCTTTTCAAGATGCTTTTTGGCCAATCCTGGCAATGCACGCGAGCGCCAATCACTGTCGCGGATTGTTAAACTTTTGGCCAATCGGTAATGGGCACAAAGAGATCGTTAATTGCAGCCAATGGATGGTCCGAAAGATTCAGACCTGGCCAATCACATGGCGATATGCATGCCCATCAAATCGCACAGCGCAATCGCACAGCGCCAGCTGCTGCTCGAAGAGCATCCGACAAGGAGCATGGCTGCTCTACGAGCGATAGCGCTCACGTCAAGTCGTACGAGTCTCGCTATAGAAGTACTATATGCAAGATCATGGTCAATTGATGTGGTATGAGTGGCAATTCATGGCTAGAGACTACTAGTACTGGACATAGCGCTGCCATCCATTTGATTGCTTCACCGAGTAGCCGCGGCAAGCGCACAACGACCAGTCCCAAGCGCAGTAGCTGCTGTACCAGCTTGGAAGTGAAGAAGTCGGTCTTGTTCGGAACCATTGGCCCCAAGCAGCGTAGGATGCAAAGATATGGGCCTGATCCTCCCACAGCCAACCAGATCAACGACCACCTCGTCCTATAGAGGTAGCCTCCGCAGCAGATCGAGTCATAGAGTACAAAGGCTTCTGCATGCACGTCATCGCGAGCGTCGCGTCCAAGCTCAAAGGAGATGCTGCTGCTCTTCGCTTGGCACGGTGCGGATGACTCAACGATCGAAATAGTGTTGGATTCCATCCATTGTCTGGGTGCATTCCATCTCGTCTGCGCTGTCGCACCCGGTATCGATGTGTGCCGCCACACACCCGGCGCTCTATGAGGCGCGCACAGAGGACCACGCGGGAGCCTTTGCCTTCTCGTTGCCGAGATGCAATTCCATGCCGCGGGCCTTCCGCAAACACTATTCAAAGTCCTATCACACTTCCGCCTTGTACTGGCCAGCACGCGCAACTGCCCCCAATTGGTGTGATAGATACTCGGTCGTAATCCACATCCTGTGTCATTGCCACTTCTGCTTTTGCCAGCATGCTACCAACCGTCACGACGCGCCTTGTGCCCCGCTCGGCGCCGCCCCGCGCCAGCCACCGACGCATGCTTCTCGGCGCCATGGCGCTCTTCGCCGGCGGCTACGTGACGACCGAAGCCATCTTCCCGGCCTGGCTCCACGGCGACACGGGCCCGATCCCGTACGTCGTGCCCGCGGCCTGCGCCTTCGCCAACGGCGACCTCATCGCCCTTCAAGCCGACACGGGCGAGTACGTCGCTTTGGACAACACGACGGACGTGGCGGCTGTCGTCGCGCCGGCTGTCGCACCGTCGGCGACCTGGAAGGTCTACAACACGGGCCGCCTCGGCACGCTCGCGCTGCAGGCCGACAGCGGCAAGTTCCTCGCGCGCTGCCGCAACACGCCGGCCGCCATCGTGGACGCCAACCACTGGTCTGACGGTGCGTACGCCCAGTGGACGTGCGTCGTCGCGGACGACGGCCGCATCGCGCTAAAAGCTGACACGGGCAAGTTCCTCGTCCGCGACCGCAGCGCAACGCTCGTCCACGCCGAGAGCTGGGCAGACGCCAAGGCGCAGTGGGCCGTCGACCGCCTCCCCGTGTCGCCTGCCTGCACGTTTGCAAACGGCGACGTCGTCGGCTTGAAGAGCGACATTGGTACGTTCATGGGTCGCTGCGACGACTGCCTTGCCATTCCCCGCGCCGTCTTTGCCCATGCGCCAAGTATGACGCCCGAGGCCACATGGACCGTCTTCAACACGGACAATGGCAAGCTCGTCTTCCGCGGCGACGACGGCACGTACCTAAACCGCGAGTACAAGCTCGTGCCGGGTGCGTCGGTCGTCGACCAAGCGTTTAGCCGTGTCGCGCAGGCCAAGCCGTGGGCCGAGTTTACCTGCGTGGACCTCGGTAACGGCGCCATTGGCCTCGAGGCGGACAATGGCAAGTTCCTAAGCCGCTGCAGTGACTGCTACCCTGGTGCGAAACACTCGGAGAGCGTCGCCATGGACACTATCGACGCAAGCCGCACGTCGGCGGCCCACTGGACGGTGGTGCGCCACGCGTAAAGATCGTAGATGGTATATCGAGAGATGCATATAACTTAATCCAATGCAAAGTACGCTTGGCCTAGTCAGAAAGTTGCTTCCGACATCAAACCAAGACGACAAAGACGTGGTGTATTACCTTCGGTGCACGCCACGCGGAGCTTGGCGGCCAAGACGTCGCGCGACGAGTACCGAGGTAGCTTGAGGTACTTTTGGCACGTGTTGCACGACGGCAGCGAGGCGTCTACGTCGCCGTCAACCGACAATGCCTTTCCGTTCGTGCACCGACCTGTGGCCGACGTCGCTGGCACGACCGTGAGGCCCAGCGCCGACCAGCCCGCCAGCGGCAGGCACGGACTGCCCGTGACGAAGAGGAGAAACTGACCGCGCTCCAACGCCGAAAGCGTCACCAGAGCATCCACGAGCCACTGGATCTGGTCGGATTCCCACGCGTACCCCGCGCTGCAGCAGAGACCGCTACACATCACGACACCAATCAGAACGGATGCGGATTCCTATGGAGGGTACCGCTGCAGCTCGTCGCGTGTCCACGGCAGATCGCAATGCAAGAGCGTCTAGCACACACTGAACCAGAATTCCGATCGAACATGCCACCAACCTGCCACTCGGCGGGTGTAAAGTATTGCCACGTGTGCACCGGCAAGCACGCGGCAAAGCCACGGCGCAGCGCAGCAATCGGACCCGCGACACTGACGCGCACGAGATGGTCTTTGACGAGCGCAATGTATTCGTCGCGGTTGGCACGCGTGACGGGCCGGTCACAGCCCTGATCGCAGAGCGGGTACTTGTCGACGCCCGGGAGGTTGAAGTAGAGCCCGAGCGAAGCAACGTCCTACGCATACTCATCGGTCAACCATCGAGCCCCATGATGAAGCGAGCAGATAGTGTACCTCGACCGTCGCGAGGCGCTGTATCGAGGAATACAACGACGCGTCCACGTCAAGCACGTCGTCCCAGCCCAGCGCCTCGCCCTGGAGCAGCTTGAGAAGGCTTGTAGAGATGCGCAAGTCGAGCGAGTAGCCATCCTACACCATCCTCGGTATCAGCCATTTGGATGCAAGACTGGAGCCTATCTACAAGGAAGGCGCGGCCCAGCGCGAGGCCCAAGGTCTCGAATGCTTGCAACGTGTGGCTGCTGCCCTCGAGCGCAGCGTGGTGGGGTGCGGGGAAGAGTGGCGCGTCGGGAGCGCGCCAGAGACGTTGCGTCGGTGCCGTGAACGCCCGCGCCAGTAGCCTACATACAACGAAACAAGTTAGTAGAACGCGAGCAAAACAAATGGCCGCGTCTACTACGTGTAAAACTCGGTCGTGGGGCCGACGCCGTGGCCGGCTTCGCCGTCGAAGCTCACATAGAGCACACTGGACGGTGGCACTGTCGTCCACGTCTTGTTGGTGAATAGTTCATCGCGCGCCACGGAAATGGACGTGCGTCCGCTAATCTCCTCGCTACGTATACGTGAGACGAGGATGCGAGGAAGAGGAAAGCTACCGGGTCTTGCGCTGGGCTTTTGAGCCGAGAAAAAAGCTGCTGCGGAGCGATAGGGGCACGGCCGTCGGCTGCAATTCGAGGATCGAAGCGACGGCCGCAGGCACGACGCGTGAGAGCTGGCGCCACTCTTCCTGGACCATCGTCCCAAACGTCTGCGTCAACCGCGGCATGACTGCCAGCGCCTCTTGCGCGCGCAGCCACGTCAGTGGCGCCGTCGGCGGCACCGCGGTTTCGACCATGTCCAATTCAACCATGCCTGCGTAGAGATCGCTCGGCGAGGCCGCAAGCGCCGCGACAAGGACTGAGTCTGATGGCGCGCACGTCCGCCCGCCCGCTACAAGGTACCCGAGCGCCTCGGTGCTGTCGACGACAAGCGGCAACGAAGGGGCCGTCAACGTCACGACGGGAGCAAACGCGCCTCCGCCTTTTTGGCCGACACGAGGTGCTTGACCGATGACAGCACGTGCTGCACCGAGGTCAGCGGGTGCGCGGTGACGTCGACAACGCCATCGCATCGACGAAGACGGAGGCGCAGCGGGGTCTCGTGCCAGTGGCCGTCAATTGGCGCAAACGAAAGCTCGGCGGCGAATTGCTGGATATCCACCGCGTGCGGTAGCCACGGCGCCGCCTTGGACCGCGTCAGCAGCATCGAAAACCAGCCGCTCGCCGTCATCTCGTACAGCGTCGGCGGCTGCGTGACGCACGCCGCGTCGATCGCCTCGTAGAGCGCGTCGTGGCAGTGCACGTCGTTCTCGGTCGAGAGTTGCGCGACCAGGTTAAACAGCGCGTGCGTCGGCTCACCCGCGACGAGACCATGACGCACAAGAAGGTGCGGGTCCTTCATGCTTGCTTGGAGCTGCGCAATCTGGTCGGCGACCCACTCATCGTGGCGACCCGTGACGCGAAGGATGCCGAGACCGAGGCACACGCGGTGCCACCCGGAAGCGTCGTCGGGCGGAAGCAGCTGCATGTAGAGAGGGAGTCCGAGCAGAAGTGCCATCTCTTGCGCCTCGTACTCCAAATAGTGGCCCATCGGTTCGGCAAACAGCGGCGCGATCCGGGGCGCGAGCGTCGCATCACTCGCATCGTCCTCGCACGACGTTCTTGTCGCGTAGCCCGCAATCACTTGGTCGTAGCGGAGCTTGCGGATGAGCCATTCTTGCTGCTGCATCTCAAAGTGCGTGGGCACCCGGGGCGCGCCGCAGACGCCACAGAACGTGTACGCCATGGGTTGCAGCATCGTGCACTCACTGCACGACCACTCGGGCTCGTACGGAGCCCGGGGTACGATACTGCTTTCGCGCAAGGCAGCCATCTTGGCGAGGACGGCGATTGCAGCCGCCTTCATGTCGTAGTACGCGAGCGTTGGCGCGTTGTCGCTGGGAGGGGCAAAGCAGTATGTGGCGAGGACCTCGCACCACGCAGAGAGCATGCCATCGGAGAAAACGGGGACGAGGTACTCGAGGAACCCAAGGATCGAGCGCTGCTGCGCGTGCGACCAGCGGGGAAAGGCGTCGCGCCAGAAGGAGACCACGGCCGTGTCGTGAGCGAACGCCGCGAGGTAGCTTTTATCGGTCACGAAGACGAGCATGAGCGCATCAGTGGTCCACTGCATCGCGAGGGCGGCAAGCGTCGCGTCCGGATCGTTCGCATACTCGATGACGACGGTATCGGCCATGGCGAGGAGCGCTGTTGCATGCTCGGGCGACGCGTCGACGTTGGCCGCGCGGACAGCGAGCTCCAAGACGCGCTTCTTGGTCGCGACGTGCGTGCCATGGAGCGTCGAGAGGAAGAGGTACGCTGCGCCGGACGTGAGGACCCACGATGGGCGGTCACGGGCCAGTGCGCGCGACCAACGCAGTGCCTGCTCGGTCGTGTCGGTGTCGTGGAGGCTCATGGCCGCGCAGAGGACGGTCTCGACGACGTGCACGTTCAAGGACGGGTCCTTCGCAAAGGCCGGGTCCGTGTCGAAGAGCGCGTTCATGGCGCGGAGTACGAGGAGCATCGTCGTCGGGCAATAGTACGCATGCACGAGCACGTTGGTCAAGGTCGATACCTCGATCAGCGGCGACGTCGGAAGCGGATCGTCGTCGCCATCGCCATCGTCGACGGTCATGCGCTTCTTCGTCCTCTTCTTCTTGGTGCAGATGGAGCGCCTCAATGAGCTCGAAGAGGAAGAGCATTTGCGTCTCCGGATCGCTCCCGACGCCGACGAGCGCATCAAACTGGCCCATGCTGTGAAGTATCGAAAATGTCAACCTGGCGCAAAAATCCAACCGAGAAACGCCAATCCACCAATCCTGGCGCCGCAAGCAGCTGGTTTTCAGCCAATCCACAGCGCGCTCGCAGGTGTCAATGGCACACCAGTCATGGTTCCCGCCTGGTGGAGCTGCCATGGCCATCGCTAGTACGTGTGCAAGGCTACTAGTACCTCCCGTTCCGCGCCCCCGCGCCTCTCTCAAGCAGCCAAGCGAAGCAGACGCATCATTCGGCTACCATGAGCGATGGTCGCATGTTGAAGACGAGGTGGAAAGGCCACTTCGAGCTACTACTGTGTGTACACCATCTACATGTCCTTCTTCTCGGACGTCTTGGAGAAGCGGACAACGATAAAGAGGATCGTGCCCAGCAGCAGCACCGGCACGAGCAGCGGGTTGGACGCCAACGACGACGATGCCGGGACCGCCACCTGGAGCTTCACCGGCTTCTCGGCGCCCTTGCGCAGCCCCCGCTTGCCAATGTCCGGCGCATCTTCGTACACAAAGCCCTTTTCGCGGTTGATGCACGGCCGCACCGGCGCATCCTTCTTGTCGTCTTCTTCGTCGTCAGTGTCGGCGGCGACGGCTGGGCGCACGGTCGTCGTCGTCGGTGGCACGGTCGTCAAGACGTCGGCGGCGAGCGGCGGGCATGCACGGGGCCGTTTCTAGCGCGCCGATGTAGAGCCATGTAGCGTGAGTTCGAGTCCCTTACGCTGCGAGGGCCCTTGTAAGCATTGCAGATGCCGAGCGTGAGCATGTCGTAGCTGACGCCTTCGGTCGGCGAGCCGAGGATGGTGCCGTCCACCGTCGTCTACGATGTTGCGTGAGCGACGAGAAGGGAGAACATCATAATGATGCGACGTACGTGGGGCAGCCACGGCGTGTCGACGGTGTTGGTCGTCTCGATAAACTAGACCAAAAGGCGGTCGAGTCCACAGGATGCAGGACAATTCGAGAACCTTTTCGAGCAACTTGGCGCTGTCCTTTTGGTAGCACGCCTTCATTTGCGCGATCGCGGGGCCGCGAAAGCACATGCTTACGATCTTATCCCAGGCGCCGCGCGGCTTCTTCTCGTCTTCCATGCACTATTCGCATCGATACTATCGTCACGGTACAAGTGTACAGCGCGTACGGCCAAGTGCTTGGCTTGCTCGGCGACCACCGGGTACAAGTGAATCGCGCAGCTCATGTAGCGGTGGCCCATGCACTCGGAGGGGCCGCCCGTGCAGCTAAATGCGCCGTTCGTGCCCGTCGTCGAGCCCGAGGGGTACGGCCTAGTCCCATATTTGTCATGTCTCTGTTAGGAGGAAGAGCGTTGTCGACTTGAAGGTGAGAATATCGGTAAACCTAGCATCGGATAGAGAATTAGGTCCGATAACACCAAGACGCGGGTCGTACTCGGGGTCTTGGAGCACACGCAAGAGCGGGTCGTTCAGGTACCACTTGCATGCAGGGCTAGAAGCGCCGTGTCGCATACGAAAAGCCGAAAATCGAGTCGCAAATGTACCAGAATGCGCGCCAGACGACTTGGAGTTGAATCTTGGCGGCTGCTGGCAGTGTCGTTGGAAGGGCCGTCGTCGTGGGTGGTTGTGTTGTCAGTGGACTCGAGGTTGCGGCGGCGAGAGCGGCAGGCACAACCACGGTCGTCGATGCGACAGCCGGCGTCGGTCGACCGAGGAGCCCGTAGCACTCGATCGGGAGGTACTAGACACGCTTGGTGAGATATGAGATGCACGCAACGTCATTGTACCTTGTCAGGACCGCTGTACGCGTTGCAGACAGCGAGCTTGAGATCCTTGAGCATGACGCCTTTGGTCACATCGCCGACGACGCCGCCTTTAACGATGGTCTACGTAGGTCTCTGTACGAAGCGCAGGTGCACAGGCAAGCCATACGTAGGGCATCCAGCCGAGGTCCAGCGCTTGCGCTTCTTTGGTGAGCTAGACCAGCCCGTATGACGATATTGGTGTGGCATGGGGACGTCTTCGCTACCTGGCGCAAGAGACGCGTGCTGTCCTCGGTCTTGCACTTGCGCAGCGCAGCGATCGCGACCGGATCGGGGTAGCAGAACTCGAGGCGCGATTGCCACGTGTCGCTGCCGTCGCGCGCCTCCACTAGAGAGGAATGTCATCAGATGCATCGGACGGCGTTTCGCCTACCGCCATGTGCTTCATGTACGTCTCGACCGAGTCCTTATCCTTGTCGAGAATGCACGCGAACCACCGGTGGCCTTCGCATTCGGACGGGCCGCCTGTGCAGTCAAAGCCGGCGTCTGTCTCGGTCATGCCCGCTGCCGGGTTCAAGCTACACGCTATCTTACACGCGATGCACGAGGAGGCGTCTTACGAGAGCTCCGTGATGGCGCGGAATCTACAAGCAAGCCATGAGCATGCGGTGAACCATGGGCGAAGCGTCGTACGCAGGGTCCGAGATGAGCTTGATGAGCGGATCTCCAATGTACCATTGGCAGGCAGGGCTAGACAGGGTGTCGGTGGTCGACGATCGCAGCAGAAGACTTACCAGTAGGCGCGGAAGATGACGCTGATGGGGACGCGCTGGGCCTTGTCGAGGGCGGCGGCGGCGACGGCCGCCCACAGCGCCAGGATGAGACCGATTACGTGCATGTTGGCAACTGGGTAGATGGCGTCGCCCCATTCGTTGCGATTCGTCCAATCAAACGCTCGTATCTTGATATTTTCAACCAATCAAATACGTTTCGAAGGGCGGCGCCAGCTTTTTGCTCCGGCTCGCGGCGTTCGGCTGACAAGATCCAGTAGGCAACTCCGAATACTGGATACACCGAACATTGTCTATCCAATGTGCAATGGACAAGTCGTCTGTCCGACGCGTGGCGGCGCGGTTATCCAGCGCGTGCTGCCGATTGCCTAGGGTCGAGCTGCGACGCTGCAATGCTGGGGAGCAGCAGATCGGCTTGACCGTCCTATTTTTGGTCGTGTGTCAGTCAAATAGATGCTACGCTTGACGACTCGCAAGATGAGGTCGTTTTCCAAGATGGCGGCGAACGGCGGTGGATAAGCTCCATGATGTGAGATCGTGCAGCACTCGGATCTCCTATCTATTTTTGACGCCCCAAGAGTGCCAAGCATGGCCAAGAGCAAGCCCGCCTCCAGGCCAGCATCCAAGCCAAAGCCAGCCCCGAGACCCGCCTCCAACCCGCCCCGAAGCCTGCCTCCAATCCAGCCCCAAAGCCTGCTTCCAACCCCGCCCCGAAGCCTGCCTCCAACCCAGGCCCGAAACCCGCCTCCAATCCAGCGCCGAGACCAGTGGCCAACCCCGGCCCCCGGCCTGCGCCCAATCGAGCCCCCGCCTCGCGGAGCCCTGCGTACGTCGCGTATGTGACGCCGAGGCCGCTCTGGGTCTCGAGGCCCAATCGCATCGTCGTGGTCTTCAGCTCGCATTCGTTTTGGTCCAAGCGATCGTCGTGCGCGACGCGCTACTGCGACAGCAACTACGCGGCCTGCAACTCGATCTACAGCTTCGACGAATGCGCGTGCGTCCCGGACTTGCTCCAGTGCATCCAGGCCAAGTGCCGGACCGAGTATACGGCCGCCATCGCCGAGTGCGAGAGCGCCATCCGCCGCGATACGCTCTGCCGCCTCTCGTGCGCGCCGGCCGCACCCGTGGACTGGACGACCGAGTACGTCGCCACCAACTACAGCGTCGTCGTGGAGCTTTTGATTGAAGGCATGACGTCGTCCGCGTGGGAGAGCTATGGCGTCGACGTCTCCCAGCTGCTCGTTGACGCACAGGTGAATGCCACGAGCAAGAACGACACCCTCCTCGCTGCGTGGCCCGTCTACGTCACGACACCGCCGTACAACGTCGTCAATGGCTCGGCCGCCGCGCTGCAGATGACGGCCGAAGTGATCACGGACGATCCGGATGGCATGCTCGAAGTGCAATCGTTCTTCCTCAACGAGTCGACGACCCAATGGCTGGCATCGACCTTGTGGGACTACGGCGTCCTTCACGACACGAATCAGCTGGCCATCACCAGTGTCCAAACTCTCGTGGTACCGCTCAACAGCACAACACCATCGACGTCCAGCGACAACTCGACAGCCGCGCTCCTTGGCGTCGGCGTCGGGATTGTCGTCGGCCTTGGCCTCTTAGGGCTAGGGTATTATTGCCACACGCGCCGCCGTCGCCCCGCCGCCGTCGCGTGCGTTGGTCAAAAAGGATAACGTGCGACATGTATAATTTGCTCACTAGGAGTACCCAGGAGTACCAGAAATGTATTCAATATTGTCCCACGCGGCATCCGCATTATCATGCTCCAGGGATCGACCCGCGGCTTGTAGTGTATCCAACCGTGCAGCAACATGGATATAAGGCACGTGTCGAGCAAGATGCAACCACATCATCTTTGCCTTGCACGATTGTCCATCGTAGACAATGTTTTCCACAAACGAAAAATATAGATGAAATATCCCGTGCGGTGGATTGATTACGCATCGTGCGGGCCGAAAAACTCGTAGTGGACTTGGGCCGCGGGGATGTGCCACTGCGATAGTACAATGTCGCGCACGGTGCGCATAAAGCCCGGCGGACCGCAAAAGTAGTAGTGCGCGTCCTTGTTTGGAATGATCTCGTCGAGGAGCGCGGCGCTGAGGCGGCCGTGGCGCTCGCCGTCGACCGGCGTGCCGTAGACGCTCACAAAGGACACATTGTCCGAGGTCCGCGCGCGAAGTTCGTCGCGAAGCGCCTCGACGGCCGGCGACCGCGCCGCGTGCACAAACAGAATCGGGTTGGACACCTTCTTGTCGAGGAGGTCGTGGACCATGGCCGCCAATGGCGTGATGCCGACGCCGCCGCTGAGGAGCACGATGGGCTTGGTGCTGTCCTTGACGTCCAAGAAAAAGTCGCCGCAGGGCACCGACACTTGCAGCGTGTCGCCTTCGTGGACGTCGTCGTGGAGGTACGACGAGATCTTGCCCATGGGACACCCGGACGCCGCAGGGCCTTCGCGCTTGACCGTGATGCGGTACTCGTCCTTGCCTACACGGACAATAATGATCCTATCCAACGCCATGGATATAAATCGGCGTACGGGGTGCCATCGAGAGCGAGTAGTTGCGCTGCGTCGTAAAGTGCTCGGTTTCAAAGCGCACGCCGACGTACTGGCCGGCGCGGAAGGCCACGAGCGGCTTGTCGTCGGCCGGACGCAAATGGAACGACTTGATCTCGCTCGACTCGGCGACGACCTTGGCGACGACAAAGTCGCGCCAGCCGTACCAGCCGCCGGGCTGCGTCCCAATCTCGTCGCGGATCGCCTTTTCGCGCGCAATGCACACGTCGGCGAGGAACCCATACGCTTCGGCCCACGCCGCCACGATCTCGGGCGTCGCGGCGTCGCCAAGCACCGTCTGAATCGCCGCCAAGAGGTGCGTGCCCACGACGTCGTAGTGCTCGGGCAGGATCTCGAGCGACACGTGCTTGTGCGCAATGCGCTCGACAGCGGCCGTGAGCGCGCCGAGGTCTAGTATCGATCATCAAGATACGTACGATGCGACGAGAAAGGACGGCGTACTGTCAATGTTGTTGGCGTACGCGGCGACGGCGTCGGCGAGCGCGATGGGCTGGCGCGCGCGCGACTCGCCCGGCAGCACCACTTGGTGCGTCGGGTTGAAGAGCGCCGAGATCTTCGGGTCGCTCGGCAGCATCGTCGAGTACATCTGCGACGTGATCGCATAGCCGTGCTCGCCGACGACGGGCGCCGTGGCCTTGACGAGGCGGATCGTGTCGGCCGAGAGCGTCATGGTGCTTGTAGTTGGTGGGACTTGGTGAATGGCAGAATGGCAGAATGAGTTGAGAGAGCTTGGCCTCGCAATCGTTTCGCCCATCGCCGTCGGTTCGGGCTGCGACATGTGCGGGCATACATCTGACCACCAGCCTGTACATGACGTGGCACGCCCACAGAGCGGCAGGCCTCGTATACACGCCGCGTGTTTGTGTAGCCACATCGACATGCAGAAACGTCAAGGGTCCATAAAAACGACTTTTGAGAGCCTCTGGTGGGCGTACTACTCAATGTCTCGATGCCTCTTTTTGGTTGTCCGATGCCTCCACTTTGGTTCTCGAATGCCTTGATCGTTGCCTCGAGTCTCATCCATTGTGAACGCTCGCGCTTTGATAGAAAACATATATTTTCGATCCGATAGGTTTTGAAACGACGTCGTTGGCCTTGCAATGAACGCGTTTGTAGCGCTCGGCGTGGGGGGGTCGCTATGGTAGCGAGGTGGGCTCATTTGCTTGAAGAGCATCACTAAAACATAAGCTCTTTACTCGTTCTGGTCCAACTGGGGCTCCTTGAATGATGTGCACGTCGGTCTGGTCAGCTGCGTTATTATGGAACGGTGTTCTGATGGTTGTCCGTGGGACTATATCGGTTTGGTCTTGGTTTGTTTATCTTGGCCGTCGGCATGGAACTGCTGGTCACCACCCTGCTGCAGCCTTGCCCACGATAGCTCCGTTACTCAGAGTACGTTCGCGTGAAGCTGTGTTTTTACCAAGCAAGTGCGCCATCGTACGCAGCGACGGAACCGAGATTCCCGTTGTGACAAGGCAGCAACCGTTAACGTCCAAGACACAAGCAAGTCATGCTCAAGCTCCGCTCTGCCTGGCTACACATCCACCAGTCCCTTCTTGAGCTCCCAACACGACTTTTATCCTCATGCAATTGCATTCTAGCCTCGGGGACGAGCTCTATTATGAATTCCGGATAAATCGAGGCTGAGCTGCTCGGTGCAAAAATACTTTTGGAAGCTTGGCCTCAAAATGCTCCGGAAACGCCGCTGGGGCGTAAGTTGTGGTGTATAGTCCATGACCGGTGAAAGTCCCTGCACACGCGCGTCGAGATGCCAAATCGGTGAATGTAGGTCTTTTGCGACCATCACTCAAAGCCACTCTCGACCTCCAAGATGGTGCGCAGAGTGCAATTTGTCATCAAGATGGCCACCGACCTTTATCGCATCCGCGTCGTCCGCGTCCATCGGGGCAAGTGCATCGTCGTCTTCCGCGTCTACAGCGTCTACTACGACGGCGGCCACACGGTGCCATCGGACGCCTCCTTCTTCGTGCTCCTTCTCGACGACGGCCGGTTCCTCTTCCCCTCGTACGCCACCGTGGGTCCCAACAGAGGTTTCTCGAGTGCCAACGAGCATTTTGCGATCGCGTCCAATGGCCAAGCACTGGATCACGCGTGGATGACTGCGAACGCGCACACGTTTGTAAAGCGCGTCGAGCAGACGGCGTACGCGCCGGCGACGCTAAAGAAGAATGCCGCGTTCGTCTACAGCGGCTTCAAGAAGGAGCGGCAGCTAGAGCAAGGCGTGTACGAAGTCGAGTACACAGATCCCAAGTGGATCGAGCACTTTGAGGTCGGCCACGTGTGGCAGACGTGCTGCTTTGACATGCTGCACTGTATGCCCATTGACACCTCGCAACTCGAGCCCGTGACGACGCCGAAGCCAACCCGCGCCATCTCGCCTTCGCCGGCCAAGACGACAAAGAAGTCAGTCCAGAAGACCAATAGAAAGAAGCCAGTCAAGAAGACAAAACCTGTCAAGGCAGGTACGACTCAAAAGGCCGTCGCTCGACAACGCAAGGCAAAGGCGTAACATAAAACAACTTTGACACATGATTTTTCTACTAAATTTTGTTCGAGTGCTCTTTAATCACGCTTGCAGCAACGCGTTGGGAATATAGGACCTTTCGTTCATCCAACCCACCGATACGTCTTCTTGTTAGCAGCCAAGCAGAGAGAACCGAGGCGTCGTCACATGCATGGCTACGACGTGTACCTCCTCGCTGAGCGTCGTTTGTTGTGGCCGTTACGACAACATCTCGAGTTACCGCTTGAAACGCTTGCAACGGCTTGTGTCGAGCAAAATCAAAGGTCGCCATGGCATCGATCGTCGTCGCAGTTGGCCTCATCGGCGGCTCGTTCTCGTGCTCTGCGCACTTCGCCCGCTTCTTTGGCTCGTCCGAACCAAAGCCGTCAGCGATATATCGGTCGCATGGACAGCGCTGCATGCCGCTGGCCTCGTCTGCTCGTGCGTCTACCTTGTCCTCTTGGAGGCGTGGGCCGGCGCGTTCCCGTTGGCTCTCGAGGCCTTCCTTGCCTTGCTTACGGTGCCACTGCTCGTATACTTTCGACTCCGGCGTCCAGCTCAGTGCCGACCAAAGCCGCGCCGGCGCCAGCGGTCGCTCTCGCGCGGCGGCCCCAGAACCCTCGACTTCAACGACGAAGTGCAGTGCGCAGAGGCCGCGTTGCGCCTCGCCGCCAGGTTTGTAGAGGAGCTCGAGGCCCTCGAAGCCGCCATTGGTCGTGACTTGGACATTCGGCGCGCACCGCTGTCGTGGACGGTTGGCTTTGCACTGCCGTTGGACCCGTCCATCGACGTGTCCTTTCTCGAGGAGCGGAACGGTACCGCGCGCGCCACGTGTGTGCCATCGAAGCGCGTTTCGCAGGACATTTTGCGCCAGTTTGTCAACGACTGCCGGCGCCTCGGCCCATTGGCCTTTGCGGCGACGTACTCGCCCACGCTGCCGTGTCTTCCGCGCGCTCTAGTTACGTCGCCAAGCCATGTCATGGACGCCATCGCGTCGAGCCATACCCCGGTCGAGCTATAGACATATTGTACACAATCTCGCACTTTGGTGTGAAAAGGATCACGAGCCAGGTCAAGCAAGGGGCATCGAAATAAGAGATAAAAAGCGACACGGGAAATCATGCGCAATGAGACGCTCACGAACCCTAATGCTTGCTACCCATAGCCCTTTGAACCCCGCCGAGCAAACGCTGCCATAGGTTAGGCCAACCCATGCGTATATCCAAAAACCGGGAACTCGATTTCAAGACTATGAAATCTCAATTGCTTCGCCTAGGTTGAGGCATTCTCGTTTGGTGTGTCGTGGACTATGCCAGACTGCGAAGCGCCGTTTTCTCAAGAATTTACATGTAGCGAGACTCGACTCTATCATCGACAGCAAGGGTGCAGCTCTACCATCTACGTACACGTCCATTGCAGGCCAGCGAACGACGTCGTTTCAAGACCTGTCGAGTCGAATACTATATGTTGGCTATCGGATAGAGCGCACACGCGAGCGTTCCGAATGGATGAGACTCGAGGCAACAATCGAGGCATTCGACAACCAAAGTTGAGCTATCGGACAACCCGAGAGGAGACATTGGGGCATTGAGTAGTACTTCAAGCCACTA